TCACGATTTTCTGATAGTTTTGCATGTTATCAGAATGTCTATGTTTTCTGATGACTCTATTCTGATCACTGTCTGATCACTTTTCGGATCAGAAATTTTCCCTGATCACTTATTAGCGATCAGACTTTTTCTCTGATCATTTCACAGTTATCAGAAATACTTGTAATTCTGATGCCAATTTTTCTGATAGTGCACCAATGATCAGAAAATCCCAAATTTTATCAGAAAAATAGGTAAATGATCAGAAAATCCTGATCCCATTTACACCTGTGAAAGAATCATTTTTCGGAGTAAAACTAATAGCGTTCGGCCCCAATAGAATCGAAAGTCCGGGCATTTTGAAAGACTTCGCACACCAACACTGCACTTTAGATAACAGTCTGTATTCCAATTTCTCTCCTCAAAACAGGAAGAGGAGCACGAAGGCAGTAGTTCCCGACATTACATGTGAGAGAATAATTATCGTATTTAGTTGACGATTAAAAGTCTTCACAATTTGGTGTACAACATCATTTGAACAGTATCCATGTCCTTGGCAGGTGACATACCTTTCGACAAGTCATCACGAAAAACCCACTTGCCTCCCAGTCTTCTTGAATAAGTGTAGTAGTGCCTCAAGGCAGTGTCCATGACGCCTGAATTTGATGGACTAGGAGGAGAAAAACCAGTGGCACCTCGAAGCATAAACTGCGTAACTTCTTTTGAATTCTCACAGGGATATCACTGAAAGTAACCTTTGTTTGGACTTCGAAAGCAGCGATATCAACATGCGTGGCTAAGAAGGTTTCCTATCAAAGATACAAGCAGCTGGTGTCCGTAAAGACGGGTGTGTCTTAGCACCGTTGCTTAAAATGTGCATGGAGACGGAGTGGTCCACCGGGTAGTTTGTGATGAGCTGAGGGAAGTCTAACTTTTTACTATTTCCTACTTCGGGAAATCGCATGACACATCTGCTCGCCGTGGTAGGAAGGGTTGCTTCCAGTGTTGCTTAAAGCTGACCAACGCCACGGAGCTCGATGACCCTGGGGTCAGCAACGCACACAATAGGGTACTTCGGAGAAAACCTAGACCGGAAGTCAGCGACAGAACGTGAGAAATAAAAGAGCGTCAGCAGTCGCGGGGCTGTGCGGGCGAGTCCCCTTGCCCTCCTCCTTCCTTTGCTGCTCCATTGGTCTGTTTGGTATTGGTCTGTTTTTGGTATGTTAGCCAAATTGTTGCAATGCTTTGTTTTGGTGTGTAGGCAATCCGCATCCGATGTTTTGTGTTCTATGCAAAAATGGCCTGCAAAATTACATGGTGTCATTGCGCGCACGTTTGCAGCAAAAATTTTTAACTTTTTGCCCGCTCCCCGATGATTTCTCGGAGGCCGCGGCGGTGTCGTCTCGGCGGTGGTGGTCTTCCCCGCGGCGGCTCATCTTGGGCAGGGGGGCAGGCGAGGCAGGGATGAAGGGCAGGGAAGCGCAGCGGAAATGCAGGGCACGCTTAGGACACGCAGACACTGATCCCACTTCTGACACCAATGAAAGTGACGTTGGGGGAAGGGAATCAGGAGGGCAGGTGAAGAGGCACGTCCGTCTATTCCGAAGCTTGGACCAGCAGTGTACAAGGTTGGCTTTGCCGTTGCTACGCGACAGAGACTCGAAGGTGCGCATGCTCAGATGGACGCGGACGGGGAGTAGCGCCGCCGTTAGCGTGGCACCCTTACCTAACTCACGGGACTCTGCCTGATTCCGGGTGCTCCGGACTGTGGGCCAAAGCAGAGCTCTCTCGGCGCTCCGTCCTTCGAGGCACTCTGTTCGAGGCACTCTGCCTTATCCAGACCCCCCCTGGCTCTATTCAGCCTAACCTAACCCGTGCCTCACCTTTGTAGTGTGTCATATCGGACTCAATGCTGTATGGCGATTAACAATATTTATCGAAGGCCACTTCTAGGTGCATGCCTGGCAGGCACACACTTCTTTTCTGCATGCCTGGTAGGCACACACTTCCTGGTGCATGCCTCAGGCACACACGTGCCTGTATGCATGCATAAGCGACGGCAAGTGTGTGCCTGAAGCATGCACCAGGAAGTGTGTGCCTGCCAGGCATGCACCAGGAAGTGTGTGCCTGCAGGCATGCACCGAGAAGTGCATGCCTCGCACACACTTGAGTTTGCAGAGCGATTCATAATTTTAGACTACAATGGACTGAATAGCTTGATGCATTAACTTTAAACCCTTGCAGCGAGGAGGAGGGGGAAGGGGAGGTGGTGAGGTCAACTAGTAAAGGGGAGGAGGGGGGGGGGTTGAATGGTTGACCTGGGCCCTTGTTGGTGACCCCCAACTTAGGGCTCCCCAGCTCCACGAGCTACTGGATGGCTCGGCCGGCGCGGAGGGGCCGCATCCACAACGGCACCCTGATGAGGACGACGGAACTTCCTGTGCGTCTGGGGCCGGTTGGTAGAGGGATGGGGGGGGGGGGGAAATCGCTACTCAGGTCCAGGCCCTCCCCTGGCGGGCTTAATTCATCTAGGCGATAGGCGGCCCAGGTTGCAAATGCGATCAGCGGAGACATGATCACTGTAAACAGACGGGGGACCGATGGTGAGCTGCACGGCAGGAATGGCGGGAGTAACAACAACAAAAATCAGAGCGTAACTTGACCCAAGGACAGTACAAATGTGTGGCGATGGTAGAACCGAAAACGAAAATAGACTCAAAGGAGAGTACTGTGACACTTGACTTACATTTAAGGTTGTTTACATAGAAATTGAGCTTATTAAAATCCGCTTCGTGCACCATCCGTTTTCGATTGTTTGCCACAGGTAAAAGTGGACAAACATGGAGAGCAATACCCCTTCTCAAAAGATAGCAAACCAAGGATACGTAATCTTGCCACATCACTGTTAGCTGATGCGGAGACAAGTCATTGATGCCCACAAGCAGTACAGCGCAACTTAGGAGGTCAGTGCAATTCTTAACCAAGTGCTTGATTTGTTGAACACGCCCCCCCCCCCCCCACACACACACACAAGGTCTTGCTGAGGGGGTGATAGCTTTCGGGGTACAAATCCAAGAGTCTGGCAAAGATGCTGTCGCCAATGAGAAGTGCCATGGCAAATACAATCAACACACGGACGCGGATAAAATTTACGGGGTTGGTCGCGGGTTAAAAATTAAACGGAGGTTGCACGCGGCGCGGATACATGGTTACCGATGGTCACTGACACAACAACACCTTACGTCAAGGGTCCATGTCGGAGAGGAGGGCTTCTCGTTTGCAGGCGCGTTCACCTCACGGGACAAGCAGGCTTAGGCCACATGAGGGGCCAGACGACGATGGCGAACACGGAGCGCCGGTTCCGGATTGCATCCCGGGAGGATCACTGCGTGCCTACACTGAGACAAGGTGCACAGTAAATATCTTACGGTGAAAGGCTGCACCAACATATTATGGTGGAGATTTTCTCCATAATGCAAACGAAATTCGTCAAAATATCTATATCGTACAGTGAATTCTCAATGGTATGTTACGAAGTCAGCCGCACCACCATAATATGGAACATTTTCGCCATAATATGGAGAATCCTCACTGGTGGTGCCCAGAAACTGACCGACTAAGTAGCCTGCCCCAGTTTTTAGGGCGACTTGAGTCGCCTAGTTTTAGGGCATCTTGGTCATGTAAATACCAGGGGGCGGCAACGGCCTAGGAAGCGCGTGAAGCCATGCGCGAGTGAGGTGCAGGGGTTACTTATTTTGCTTCGATTGTAACATCTAGGCCGTTGATTGCAAAACGCTTTGCACAGATCAAAAGAACACAAAATTTGGGGTGCATTAGGCCTAGTAGACTGCCCGATACTTCCAATTCAACCGAACACAAGGGCGGAATCATTTACATCGACATGGCGCATTCGAGTTTTTTCCTAAATTTGTTGATTTCTCGTGTTTTCCGGTGTTTTCACTGCACCTTAATATCAGGTAAGGGGAAAGTTTCAAGAAGAGCAATTAGCCTAATGCACCCTAAATTTCAAGCCCTTTTCATCGGTGCAAAGCGTTTTGAAAAACACAGTCTAGTTTTCATAATCTCGAACAAGTGCGCAACCTATGCACTGACGGCGCGAGCATAGCTTCACGCTCTTTCTAGGCGGTTGCCACCCCCTGTAAATACGGAGCTTAATCTATGCTGGCCCAAGGCGCCCACAAGCTGAGCACCTTTGGGGTTGTTCTGACCTAATGTAAACCACTGCTGCCCAGATTGGGGGCACACTGTGGCAAAAAGGTACGGAAAATTTAGTTAAGTTTTTTGCCTGGATTCTCCGTAGCCTTCTTATTAATATTCTCCGTAGGCTCTTACAGTATTCTCCGTGGGAACGCACAGTCTTCTCCGTATAGCCTGGAAGACAGCATTGTCCTACGGAGAACACTGTTAGGTCCCATGGAAAATACTGTATAAGAGCCTACGGAGAATATCCACAAGGGGGCTACGGAGAATTACCACAAGCTGTTTACAGAATTTTCTGTGGCTTTTTGCCGCAGTGCACCCATTGCGCCTAGATTCAGGGCACCTCTGACGCCACCCAAATGTGAAATCCATTGAGTTTATCCATGTGCAGGCAAACTTGTGTGCAATGCCTTGGGCCAGCATGGATAAGTAAGCTCAGTAATTACATGACCAAGATGCCCTAAAACTAGGCGCCCGGGACGCCACCACACTGGACGCCGCAATTCGAGGCTCGTCTGCGCCGCTCGCGTGAGGCGGCGACGGTCTCGTGTCGATTTCGTGGGCAATCAACGAAGTGCCGAGGGCCCGTCGCGGTGTGGATTGGCACCCTCGCCCGCTGCAGACTGATTCCGAAGGTAGTTTTCGTCGCTGTCTCTCTCTCGCGCCTATACGGGATGCCTCTATGAATGCAAGAGAGGCAGAGCGATGGAAACTTATCTCGGAATCAATGTGCAAAGGCAGCGTCAAAGCCATGAAGTATTCAGCGAAGCGCTGGCCGCGTCGCAGTGGTCAACGAACAGCCGCCCCGTCTACATGGAGCCCACCACGGACCCACTCGCGGAGCGGGTAACCGACGAAAAGACGAATAATCTTGAACCTAACACTCACTCTTTGCATGATAGCTTGCCACAAAATTGGCAAGCCGTTTGGAATGTCATTGGCAAGCCTTGACCTGAACTCAACAACAGATAGCGAGTAGGGGTGTCTTTGGAATCGAGGCGACCAGACAAATTCAATGGACCCGGTTCCGCACTGAGAAAACCTTTCAAACCATTTTGGGCCTCAGAAAGAAAAGAAGTTTGTATGACAAAGTATTTTGAGCATACATGCTATTTTTACGTATATCAAAGTATTTTACTTTGTTATGTGTGCTCAAAATACTTCGTAAGGTTTTAAGAGAGCGACAATCGGCCGCTTGTGCGCTATTCCAGGTGCTGGAGACGCCCGTGCGCCTCATGCGCGTCGTGTGGGCGTGGCCAGACGCTACTCGCAGCGCCCTCAAAGCGAACGTCGCCCACATCATCCTCTTCAAGTCCATATTCTGGGTCACCATGGCGTCCGTGGTGTACATCGCGTGGGGCCAGTATGACAACATGGTTACTGTCCTCAGCAGCACCAGCGACATCGTGGCCGGGTTTGTGGTGATGTGTAAGATCCACTACATCTTCCGGAACGGCGATCAGGTCAGTACCCTGAACGAGGGGGAAAGCACCCGCCTAAAAGTCGGGTCACTCTGTCCGGAATAGCACGCGTAATAGTAGCGTTCGCCGAAATTCTCCAAATTTGATCTATTTTCGGGGGGTTTTGGTCTGTTTTCAGCAAAATCCCTATAATTTTGAGGGGTGGTAAAGCGTAATAGACGTATTAGTCGGGTCGCAGGTTTTAAGAGTGATTTCCCCTCTCGACCCTGAAACGCGTAGGTTTGTTGGCCCACCGGGGTAACTTTAGGCTCAGCGGCTAAAAATGTAACTTAAGTGCACGGTAAAAACGGTCCCCGCACTCTCAGTCCAGGAACGTGACACCACGTTGAAACGAATGTGACAAAATGTCACGTTTCCTCGACCATTGTATCACGTCCGAATGTGACTAAGGTGACAGGTTGTGGTCATCCTCCGTCGCCCACTGCCAATATTCTCTGAAGGACTATACTGTCTTCCAGGTCCTACACTCTTCCAAAAATGTCCTGTCAATGCCGTTAATTTATTACCAGTTTTCATTGTAGGTCAATTCACAGCGTTTACTGTAATCTGCTCACAAGATTCACTGTGATCTTGTGCACGGTGTTCACTGTGATCTGGTCCACAGTAAACACTGTGAGTTTGACGCCGCTGAGCACCGAAGTACTGCAAATCAGGCTCCAATTCACGGCGTTTACTGTGGCCAGATCACAGTGAACACACTGTGGCAAAAAGCTACGGAAAATTCTGTAAACAACTTGTGCTGATTCTCCGTAGCCCCCTTGTCAGTATTCTCCGTAGGCTCTTACAGTATTTTCCGTAGGACCGCACAGTATTCTCCGTAGGACCTTACAGTGATCTCCGTAGGACTGTACAGTCTTCCAGGCCCTACGGAGAAGACTGTGCGGTCCTACGGAGATTACTGTACGGCCCTACGGAGAATACTGTAAGAGCCTACGGAGAACATTGATAAGAGGGCTACGGAGAATCCTGGCAAAAAAATTAACAGGATTTTCCGTACCTTTTTGCCACAGTGCACTGTAACCGAGATCACAGTGAACGCCGTGAACTAGTTCACAGCCAACGCCGTGAATTGCATAACAGCAAACATTGGTAATAAATAAACGGCGTTGACCGGACATTTTTTGTAGAGTGATACGGTGAAGACTGCAAGGTCATACGGCTGAGGATCTTGTTCATGTCATCACAAGGTGGTGCACACAAAATCTATGTGTGTACTCAGTACACACATAGATTTTGTGTGTGGTCATACCGGTGAATTTAAACTTACCCAAAACTGCAAGTTTAAATGATGTCAGAACTCACACTAAATTAGGAGGATATTTATTTGACGTCAAAATGTCATCCTTGGACGAGACATCATTTTGACCTCACCTTGACCAGCTTCTTCTCCGTGTGCTGCAAGTCGAGGCCCGCGAAGCACGTCCAACACTTTACATCGGACATTTCGAGGCATTCGGCTGCACGAGATCTTTCGAGCTTGTTGTTTTTCCAGCTACGGGAGATGCGTTCGGCCTTGCAGTACTCGTTTCAAGGGGTGGAGGACATGCTTGCACCCGAGGAAGCCCGAGAAGCTAACAGACGCTGCCTCGACAAGGCGAGGAAGTTCTGCCGGTAAGCTAGGCGTCGTTAGTGCGGACAGCGAAGTTCGGCGATGAAGAGATGATGTCTCTAGAGGAGTACGTAAGAATATATCAGGTGGGAAATTGCATCAATTGCGACAGGAACTTTGCGGTAAGAGGTAAGGGAGGGTGGGGAACCATGACCACTTTTTTTGTGCCTCCCTCTACTCCACCGTGTAGTTCGAAAAGTTAAGTTTCCAGCATGAGGAGATTCACTTGACCTCCAAGGACCCCTCCCACCCATTGGAACTTGTCTGCAATGCACGGCAGGCTCACAGAACACTTTGGAAAATAAAATGCAAAGTGGTCATGGCGCCCCACCTATGGGGTACCATGACCACCCCGTGGGGCACCATGACCATAGTAATTTTTTGGCCCAAAAAAGTGTACTTTCTACCAGTATTCTCATTGAAATTGTTTAAATCGCTGTCCTTACCATCAGGCCAGTCAACTTAACTAAAAAACACTGCAAAAACCTTCGAAGTATCAAACGTTCTAAGATGCCTTAAAATGGACGGTTTAAAACAGTTAACGCTCCAAGGCTTTCAAATTTCACATCCAAAGCTATGACATGTGTTAACATTTTATGTTTGTCTTGCTAAGACGAATCCAAATTCGTATGCAGATTTCAATTTGGTAAATTTTAAGAAAATTATCCCTGTTACTACACTGCAAACAAGTGAATTAAATGCTGTTTCTCATAATGCCAGAGCCATCTTGGTACAAAGTAGCCACGGATCGCCTTCGCGGCCAACTTTTGCGGTTTGGAGCTCATTTAGTGCAAGAGAAACTACCATTTCAAGTCTCAGTTTCAGAACCATTCTTAATCATCCTGGTGATTCACGATTTGTGATAAAACTATCTATTCTGCAGCAATTATCTAACCTTTATACATTTTCAGAAGCAAAAGGCAAATTTTGGACGAAAATAAATCATTATCAGGCCAAAATATGAGAAAAAACACTCAAATATGTATGGTCATGGTCATGGTGCCCCACTAAAAAGTGGTCATAGCTCCCCACAATGCAGTTTACGACTCTAAGGCTCCCCGAGCAAGCAAAAAGCAACTTAGAATTAAATGTGATGTTGGATATTTTGCCGGAGAGCCAACATTTTGAGAAAAACCTAAGACATGGAACTTATCTCCTCAAATGTGAGAGTGAGAAAAAATATCTCAGATTTGAAAAACGCCCAATTTAGCCAAAACGCTGTAACAAAAATTTTGGCGAGGTGCTATGGTCGTACCCTTGAAGCTAGAAGGTAGGGCTCTGGCTGAAAATAGTTAGAATTCTATTCTCTAGAAAGTCCGGTTGACCGGTTGCCCTCGGCAAAGTAGTTCTCGAGAGCGAGGGGGGTGGTCATGGTGCCCCAGTGGTCATGGTGCCCCACCCTCCCTTATTACTTAACCCAGAATTGTCGTGGGTTTGAAGAATCGATTGACTTAAGAGACTATTTTCATTCCTATTGTCATGAGACTATTTTTATTCCTATTGTCATCTTGCCTTTTTTTAAAGAGGGAGATGTGTATGCAGTAGTGGCACTGCTGGAGTATTGGAGCTTAGTATGTTGGTTGGTTGGTAACCCTGTAAACCATCTGTAAGAGCTGCCAATACTCCAGCAGTGCCAACTACTGCATACACCACGTCTCCCTCTCCAACCCCGCCCTTGTACACGCTGATAACGTATCTTAGTTTTCCCTGGTAGTCTTTAGTAAATACGCGCTATTTTCAGGGTTAAAGGTGGAAAAGAGGAACTGTTTTTGCCGTGTGTGCATTTTATTTTCGTGTAGGTACATGATGCTCCTCTACGCCCCGCTCGCTGCAAGTGGCGTGGGCCTCAACGTGGCCAACATGTTCCTGAGCCGGGAGACGCGCCAGTTCAACATCAAGGTGCCTGCTTTCGTGACGCAGACGGACTGGATCTACTGGCCACTCTTCTTTTGCTCCATGATTCTGTTTACGTCCTTCATGTTCATGAGTGGTAATGCGCGAGGAAGTTTCGATATTTCTAAAGTAACCATCCAGACAACAGTTTTTTTTTGCCTAGAAAATTTATTGGGAACACCTTGTTCTTGAGTAATGCAAGTGGAGTCTGTATTCACAAGCAAACCATCTTAGTTGTCTACTTTTCTACTTACCCTGTTGTTGTATAATTGCTGTGATTTGATATAGGGATCCTTAGCACTAAAAGTATTGCATGGACATTTATTCTTCTGTGAACGGGTAATGCCTTTCTAGCCAAATTATTGCGTTTCTTTTGGAGCGCTAATTATTGACGTTCTGGTCTCTGGTGCTCTGGTAAATGGAACGCCAAATTATGGCGCTCTGTGGAACGCCTAAATTTGGTATGGAATCCGGAAACCAGGGATGGGAACGCCAAATTTTGGCAAGCTGGAGAGAACGCCACCTAAGTGGCGAGGAAACTTGCCACTGGATTTACAGTGAAGGTAGTACACCAAAATTGATAGGTCCCGTTGGAAAGGAAAGGTGCTCTCAGGCACTCATGACCGAGGGGGTAAACACTCCGGTGAACCTTGTACAGACTACTCCCTATTACGGAGTATTACACTTGTATTACGCATGTATTACACCTCAATTTCATTGAAAAATGACATTTGTTGATACTTTTGGTCCCAAAATGTATTACTATTACGCGTATTACGGCGTAATACCCGACTTTTGTGTACAGGGTATTACGCAAGTGTTTACCCCCTCGCTCATGACTCAAGCCAAGCAGATAATTTTAGAGTGCCATTGGCGTGATCAAAAGTGGACGGGTGAAACTGTAAAGCTAGGGAGCCCTGAAAGCGCCACTGCGTTGCAGGTGGTTTCGACACGCTTTTCCTGTCGCTGTGTATGCACATGCGTTGCAAGTGCGAGATTTTGAGGAAACTCTTTCGACACGCCAACCAGGTGAGAGTGCTGCACGGCACTTTTTCTCATTGATGCGAAGCGCCGACAACATTACAAGACTGTCTACTTAAAACACACTTACTAATGCGTGATGCAAGTACACACCTACGAACGCATACTTCGGAAACGAAGGTTTCGCGGCCTATGAGGGAAATCGTTTGTCATACAAGCGATTTAGTTTGTAATGCAAAGAAAAAATCCTTCGCACGCTGAGAAGAAGTTCTTTGTAGGCCACAAAGAATTTTTCCTTTGTATTACAAACAAAATTGTTCGTATTACAAATGATTGCCTTCGTAGGCTGCGAAGCCTTCGTTTGGTTTTGTATTACAACGAGCAGTTATTTGTAGGACTCTGAGTGTGCACTTACAAACGCATGCTGGGCGCCGTACCTCCATGCTCAGCATGCACTTGCAAGTGTGTACCACACTCTGAGAAAAAATGACGGTAAATCCTGGATAATTTTTTTGCCAAACTTTACCGTACTTCAAAAACCAGTATCCACCGTACAGTCTACAGTATTTACCGTACTTGTTTTACAAAATATTCCGTAGTCTTTTAACAGTAGTTACCGTTCTTCCGTACAGTCCATGCCGTAAGAAAGACGGGATCTGGTCCCAACAAAGGCCGCTTCCAAGAATTGTCCACATCAGGATCTTGAAAAAAGGGGGTCGACCGACTGAAAAATTTTATTGCACCTTTGGATAGGTCTCGTCAAGACCTTTTCAACGAGTGGTCGGAAGGGGGGTCCAGGAGTCCGACTTCAGCAGTTTACGTACATCAGAATCTTGCAAAAAGAGGGTCAACCGACTAAAAAAAAGTAGCAGTTTTTGATAGGCATAAGTACGGTATTGCCGGGGGAAAAGTACGGTGTTGCCTGTAAAAAAAAGTACGGCATTGCCTGTAAAAAATGACGGTATTGCCTGTTAAAAAAGTACGGAAAAGTCTGGAGTAATCAGTACAGGATTTACCGTGATCTTTTCTCGCAGTGCAGCAAGCAGTGTCCAGTGTCTACTGAGTAGATAGTTGGGTTTGTGGCGGATTTACAAAATGTAGACGGCGACAATGACCTCTGTGCTTGAGTTACTCAAAGCGCGCGCGTTTACTTGTTAAGAGAAACGCCGGTCCTGGCGAGGGCCGTGAGTACGAGTACTGGCACCACGACGGTACAGATTATGGAAACGCCCCAACGGCGCTCTCGACTCGCTCCAGTCGGGAAGTGGAGGCAGCGCTCCGAGCGTGCGCCTACTACCACCAACAGCTCATCAAGTAAGCTCGCTTCAACGCACACAAAACTCTGCAAAGAACGGCTCTTTGTGATACAAAGAAAACGGCGGCTTCGCAGCCTGCGAAGGAAATCGTTTGTACGAACGATTTTCTTCGTAATACAAAGGAAAAATTCTTCGTAGCCTACGAAGAACTTCTTCGCATTCGCAGGCTGCGAAGCCGCCGTTTTCTTCGTATTCCAAAGAGCAGTTCTTTGTAGGAATTTATCTGTGGATCAATGCCATTCCAGTTCGGTTTAGTAACCGATTTAAATTCTGGACGAGCTTTCCGCTCGAGCATCACAGTGGCGTGGAACGGAAAGGTGTGTTTTTAACGGTCATAAATGATCCATTGAGGAGATAACTCAATTTTCATAATCTTTCAGGAGAAACTAAAAACTGTTTGCAGGGTTAACTACATCCAATCAAATGAATAATGCAATCGAATTTTTGTCAGAAAAAAATCCTTAAGAAATAACTGAAAATTTTCAAAAGTGTAACATTACTCTGTGGACGGTTTCTGAGATTTAAATCTTTCCTACGTTTGGATGGACCACGGAACCATATTTACTTAGATCCTCCAAACGAGGTGGATAAGACATTGGCGATTTCCACGGAGTTCCTGCGAAAACCAGGAAACATTTCTACCGTTGCAGGTGCCACGCCTCGTTCCTTACTCAACGCTTCTCCCTCAATTCATTCTGCCTCCAGAATTCGAGACACGACGGAGCTTGTCTTCAACAATGTCACCTTAATATTGATGGCATATCTTTTGCTGGGACTTGGCATTCCCGCTCTACGTATGATGTATGACGTAAGTAAACTACCAGGGGAAGGCCTTCGGCCTCGCTGCTGAGCTGGATTCTGCTGGAGATGGAAATGCATTTTCGTCAGTAGTAAATTAGGAAGTGGTTATTTTGAAAATGGGCTTCTTTTCTTTCTTTGAGGTACTAGCCAGGAAGTACGCATTCGCGTGGAGGATTGTGATTCGACAATTCTTGCTTTCTTCTTGAAGGCATTATAGAACCTGCGAAGAAATGCCTCGTATTACGAAGGATTTTGCTTTCAAATTCTCGAAGGTTCTATAATGCCTTTCTTTTGTCCGTCTTAACCGATTCTTCGTAGAGTTTTTACTGAGCGGAAGTGTTGTAGGACGCGCTATTCAAGCATTCAACGAAGCATCCAAGGCTAATTTTTCATCCTTCTTTGATGCACCTAAAGGGCTCTAACACTATACAAAGAAACGAAATAGCTCAGGAAGCTATGGTAATAATGCTAATGGTAGATGGTGCTCCACACCCTTCAGGGGGTGTTTAAAATAAAATTTGTAATCTTTTCATGTTTTTTCAGCCTTTTATTCTTGCATATATTCTAACAGTAAAATGGGCTTCACCATTGGATTCTCAATGCCTTTTTACCCCTTAACCGTATTTGGCTGCGTGTCTGGTCGCCATTTTTGAATTTCCGCAAACTTTTTAGATTTGGTCAACATTTGGGTTTTAATCCTTGCGCGCAGGATTTCAGATCCAAATTGTGTCCGAAAAATCTGACTCAATTGCTGCATCTTTTTATGGTCTAAATGAAGAAGACAAGGGAGCCGGATTTCAAAAACATGTTTTCTTTCGGTTTTAATCTTGAAAACTAAAACATGGCTGTTTTTAAGCCGCGTTTGGACATTTATTGACCTGTATCGAAGGACTGAATTTTTTTTTGAGAAAAACTCTCCCTTCTCTTTTAGCTATATGAACACTGATCATTTTTAAGTTGTCGCACAAAGTTCTACCTCAGAGTTACGCTTGAAATCAAGCAATTCCCCAAGGCATTTAGATAGGGGGAATCTTAACCTGTTATTGAAAATGGAGGGTTATACTACGCTTTCGTTTTACCAGTGTATGTCTCTTCCTTCCGCAGACTTTGGACGCCTCCGCAGCCGTTTACCTGATGCTCTACACCACCTGGAATTTCGCACAACTTTTGTTCTATTGCTGGTTCGCAGACACCGTGGCATACTCCGTGAGCGCTTTCACTGGTGGATAGGAAATTTGTGAGACTTAATCAGTGTGCAAATCTCAAGTTTCCCAAAAAGAAGAAAAAAGTATCGACTTGTTACTTTTTGATACTTTACTAGAAAAATCGGTACCGCGTTACTTTACCGAAAAAAGTATCGCGATACTTAACTGCCCATGCCTGCTACCTTTGTTTGTGAACTTCGACGAACATGTTTCAATTACTGATGGCATGATAATTTGAAATGGTCCTCCGACCAGTCGTCTATCTTAGGACACACTCAGGTTAGACTACGCATTTCCCGTTAATTACGTGGCAAAAAAGCAAAAGTATTTGGCTACGCACGACTGAATCGCTCTGAGTGAGGATGGAAATTTTTAATAGTGAATTGTTGGCGGTACACAAATGTATCGTCGAAAAAAATGAGTGATGTTTGCCTGCAGTCCGAGGAAGTGTCAGTGGCGGCGTACTCGGTGCTGCGGCCCGACGTCCCGAGCGGCCCGCTGAGCGGCCTCAGTGCTGGCGGGGCCGCCACCATCAACCTGCTCACCTTGCGCGCGCAGAGGCCGCTTCACCTCACGGCCGGCCATTTTGTCAAGCTTACCCTGCAACTGTATCTTGACGTAAGGGTTCATTCACATATTGTTTTGTGTCTCTCTCACATTCACTGTCAGTCAGTGTGGAGTGACAGCTGTAGGAAAACGTTACAAACTTTGTGGACCATGGGCCACTTCGCCCGCACAACCACATACAAGGTGTTTAAGTACTTTCCTTGTTCACTGTGGCAAAATGGAACGGAAAATTCTGTTAATTGCTTTGCCAAGATTGTCCGTAGCCCTATCAATCTTCTCTGTAGGCTCTCACACTATCCTCTGAAGGACCTGGAAGACTGGTTAGTCCTACGGAGATCACTGTAAGAGCCTACGGAGACTATTGACAAGGGGGGTACGGAGAGTTACCTCAAGCTGTTACCAGAATTTTCCTTAGCTTTTTGCCACAGTGCTCATAACTGTTTGCACATTTGTGCATATGTAGGCTATGTACAATTCAATGTATTCAATGTATACTCTACAAACTGAAGTGTGTACTCAGTATGTATCTACAGATGCATACTTATAAGTACACACCTACAGATGCATACCTAGCTAAGTACACATCTACAGATGCATACTTGGCTGAGTACACATCTACAGTTGAATACTTGCAGGTATGCCTCTGTTGATGTGTACTCGATACTGGACATTTGTATGGTGACAAGTACACACCTACTTTTTTTAAATGTTAACATTTGTATCGTACGACAGAAGTTGAATTTGAAAATTCCGTCACTAAAATCTCTTCTGTACATCTTCAGGATAGGCCAAAAATATTTTCATGACTTTCCGTCCCAATGGAAGACGCAGGAAGATTTTTCTCTGACGCTCTTAAAACACTTAAGTATCACTTTTCTCAGACAGTTCAACATTTTGGATTGAATTTTGTTTTGGGAACGCACCATTATGAACCATATTATTAAGCAAAGTTTCATCTTCTTGGGATTATTCTAAAGCCTACTTGAAAGTTTCACTCGGGGTCCCCCCTTAAGAAGCGCAGGCAACCACGCCGACAACGTTTTCTTGTGACTTACAGATTATTTCCAGGACGCGATCCTTCTACTCGTATCTTTTAAAACTTGGCTAAGGCAAGGTTTCTTCTGCGAGGCTGACAGACTTCGATGACTGTCGAAAGTGGATCGAACTGCAACAAGACGAAGCTAAGGCGATACAATCCACAGGCTGATTACCGGAGTGCTCCGAAAAATAAAAAGAATTTAGTAATAAAGGCGCAGCGGGGACAATTTACTTCCGAAATAATTGTTTCGTTGTTTGGCCTTCTGTGAGATGAAAACCTTAAGCTAAGGCAAAATAAAATTCTCGGGCTTTCTTCATAATGGAAGAGAAGTAGTGCTTTCTTTATTGGTTGTGTTTTGTCCTTCATTTTTCTTCCAAACATTCACGGTGAAGTTCTTTCTAAGCTTAATAAATGCCAAGACTACAAAAGGAAAAAGGACAAATTGAGCAGTGTCAGCCATTCTTCATTTTAGTTGATACATATTTTAAGGCCTTACACCTACACTTGGAAAAATAATGATAGTGGGGGTAATGAAACAGAAAAACCCCATAGAACGTTGCAAATTGGGTTACAAGCAAGCCACTTTGCACACGTCTTCTATTGACCTAAATGGTCGATTTGACCCGAAGCACACGTCAAAATTTCCCTTAGGACTCAAATGCGGGGGCGTTAAAGGTTAAAAGTGTTCAAAATTTTCGAAGTTTCAATTTTGACAGTTAAAATCGTGCGACGAGTGGTTTCCGCATTATTCGAGGTCGGGGAATTCATTGGCGATGTCAGAACAACGATGAGGTCACCGGAAGTAACGGAAATGGCCGCCATTTTGGATAATGGCGGCCAAATTCTTCGGATTTCGAACGGCTCCGCCACCAGTCGAGTTGGGTGTCGTTCCGATAGTTTCAGGGGTCTCTGAAGGCCACTGTGATGTCAAATTGAGAGTATTTAGCAGGGAAATACAGAAAAACAGTTTCTCAGCTGTGAAAAATAAACCTGAACGATGCAGTGCTTTCCAGGATAAAGTGAAGGAAACGCAGTTTCTCTGCTTTGGTAAATTTAACATGTCTGATGCGCTGAAATGACGTCTGTTTAAATGTAAATATACTCTCATTTTAGGGCCAAAATTAATTTGTAACTGTCATATCTCGATCTCAAAATCTTGAAAGTGTGTGAAGAAATCAAGATAGCTAACTACGTCAAGAAGAACCCAATACGAGAAGTGAGTGAAGGACAATGACCCTGCAAATTCTATTGCGTGCTTGGCACACTTCTGTGCCGATGATCTTCGAAGGACAGTTCCGTGGGCATGAAGCAAAAATTTTGCTTCGCTTCAAAAAGGACCTTACATCTGAAACCAGATAGCCTTAACTTGCCTCGATTAGGCATCATAACGTTATTGTAAGCAGTGAATCTTGACGGAATGTATACTTAACAATTAAATTTCCAGAGACGTGTGCTCTGAGAAGCAGTTTTATTGAGATAATTTGATAAGGAAACGGTGTTAAAGCCGTGCGTCTAAGAACACTCCTTGTCGATGAACTGTGTAGAGATGTACTCCCGTCTTGAAGCGCAGACAGACATATACTGGACTAGGTAGGCACACTTACTCTAATTGGTTTGTTCTTCGAGATTCATACAATCGTATGGACCAAGCACAAAGTGGATCTTGCGGTTTATGCATTACCAAATATGTTTAAAACACTTCAAACTGTGTTTTTCCGCTGAAAAAATCTGTAGGAACTGCCAAGCGGGTAACAAAATACCTAATTTCAACCTCCTATTTTTGCGGTATTCTCCTCTGGAAGTTCAGCAGACTGGAACATAGCACCGTGAAAGGCCAGCGGCAGCAATGCAGATTCCTGTTGCACATCCCTGCGACAATCGCACCTATCTATTGACCGCAAAGCGTTTCAGATATCCTGCAACGTGCACCAAACGATTTCCCATTGCCTATTGGCTGAGGTCCGCCCTCATATCTCTGGAAAAGGCCGGTGTAGGCCAATGATCAATTTCCCGCCCCGTAAACTACAAGGTAGGTGTACGCCAGACCGTGTCTGGTCGTAACAGGCTTCGCGATGCTGCGCCAGTTTCGACCATCCACCCCTGGTGTATTCACCTACCTTGGCCTGCGGCGCTAACCTGCCTCCGGCAGGCTGCTTCCCTAGGCAGGCCGTAGAGATGGGCGTGATCCCCTCAAAAAATAGTATTTGGTCATCAAAATCTACACTAATGGGATTTAACTTTCGATCGGTGGCCCGAACGGGTTCTATTTTCGTCATCAGCAGCCTCTAAAACATATGAAACGATATGAAACTTGACAAAAAGTTGAAAGTACCAAAAAAGTTGTCTTTTTTCCAAGGGGTTACCCACTGAGGTAATCCTGTGTACACCCACTCGGTAATCATGGGTAATCGTGGTAATCTCGGTAATCTTGATAATCGTGGTAATCTTGTAGTAATCGTGTGGTAATCTTGTAGTAATCGTAGTAATCCTGTGGTAATCTTGGTAATCGCAACTGTGTGGGCGGGAGTCTAACGCCCGCAGTGCAGGCGGGCATATGTCGGGCCCGAAATGGCATACGATCATGTGTGGTCTAGCCCTTAATAGTAATGGCAATGTCAAGGTAGGCCACCAATTAGGCCCGCAAGGCACCAGTGTGGGAGTGGAGGCCGACATAGTCCCTGCTTGGGGAGGTGTCTTCCCCGGACACCCGAAGTGACCCGAAGCCACCCAAGGCGTATCTAATATGTGCGTCCTCGTGCCACATTTTAAATTTTTTGTGAACTAAATTGACTATTATTTTCCTATCCAAAACTATTGCTGACAAAGATACTACTTAAGAGGACTCTCAAAGAAGTTGCCTCTCCACCATATTTTATTATTAATAATTATTTTTTGTTTGCAGTTTTTCATATTAGACCAAAAAATGGAACTTGTTATAACTTAGTCTCTTTGGAAGTCAGGGGTGGAATGGCGGCAAAATAAACTTCTCTTACGCCCGACCACGCCAGAATCTTGTACCATACCCCAAGAAAACCAAGCAGACGAAATCGCGCAACACCGTCACTTCTCATCACCTTGGCTGGTTCCTATGGTGAGCTTTGGCCGGTGTGAGGTGATGAGTTTACCCACTACCCTCGGTAAAATGGTCCCGGGACCGTTCTACCCCCCAGTTCAACGGTCCCGAGACCATCTTACCCCCGGGTAGAACGGTCACGGGACCACATTACCCTCTGGCAGGAGGGTAAAACTGTCACGGGACGAGTTTACCCCCTAATATGAGGGTAACACAGTCCCGTGACTACATTACCCTCCCATATGGAGAGTAACATGGACCCGGGACCATTTTACCCCCTTTGACAGGGGAGTAATGTGTTCCCGCACGGTAAAAACGGTTCCTGGTTTTCCCAGGAACTCCCTGG